TTGGGGTTGTTCTGATGCTTGTATGTGACAATAGGAAGGGGCTTCAAATAGTTTATAGGAAAATTCTAGTATCTTTTCATTCCATTTTTTCCCCCTGCAAACAGTATGAAACCCCCTTTGTATATGAAAAACTCCTTGTAGAGTTTTAAAGACATGGTACTCAAGAATATTTGCCAGTTTTCTTCCAGCAAATTCTTGCCTCATCCATAAATCACCAACTTATTAAGAACTCAAATTATTTTAGATATGCCATCACTCCGTAAAAAAACCAGTCTAATGAGTCTTCCGTGGTCATTGAGGCAAGCAAGCTTCCTTGATATCACACAAACTATCCTTTGTGTAGATGAGAGAGCAGGCCAGGTGCCATTCCCTGTAGCTGGTGCCTATTCCAAAAGGATAAACCTCAGTGAGAAAATAAAAAGCCTTTCTCATTTCGCTCTTGGATGGATATTGTGCAACCCTAGTGTGGCTCTCTGGAAAAGAAAAAAGAAAATAACTTGCCAGTGAGTCAACTTCAACTTGATGTTATCTCTAGACCTTTGGTGTGTGTCAGAGGAGAGCTGTGTTCCATTGACTTTTCAATGGCTGATTTTTCAGAAGTAGGTCACCAAGCCTCTTGCTGGACTCAAACCTCCAATCTTTCATTTAACAACCAAGTGTGATAACCATGTGCCCCCTCCAGGGAATCCTCCAGCAGAGTGGTTTCAAACTTCCTAATGCTAAGACCCTTTAATACAGTTCTTCATGTTGTGGTGATCCCCCAACCATCAAATTATTTTCATTGCTACTTCATCACTGTAATTTTGCTGCTGTTATGAATCAGGTGACCCCTGTGCAAGGATCATTCTATCTACAAAGGGGTTGCGACCCACAGGTTGAGAACCGCTGCTCCAGCACTATATTGTATAATATTCTGTTGTGAGCCACAAAGTTTCCATAGACTGTTTTCCAGAAGATCATTAGGCCTTTCTTCATAAACCTGGATAATTGAAGCTTGAACCAGACAAGTGTTATTCCCTTGACAATTCCAGAGAAATATGCCCTTCGTGTTAATGTACCCATGTAGACAGATTTCACTTAATTATAAGATTGAACTCATGGTGAGTAAGAAGATCCTAAGTGTGGGTAGAAGGCTTGAGGTTTATTAAAAGTCAAACTCCAAGTCTCTGTCACATATCCACACAAAGTTGTTTTCTCTATTTGTCAAAATGTAATTATTAATTCTCTCACTCAAAGTCTGTTCTTTCTAGCACTCTCCTTCTGATATGGCACTATACAGTTATGCTGATTTGGGACCTTGTATGTCTAGATCCCTCATAGATATTGAACTTTACTTTATGAGCAAAACTGTAGCTAATATTGATTCAAGTGGTCCTACCTGCCAGGCTCCATAATAAGTGGTTTACATAGAGTATTTCCTTTATTCCTCAAACTACTCTTTGAGGCAGTATTATCATTCATCTCATTTTGCAAATAAGGAACTAAGGCAAAGTACCATGAAATGTGTTCAAGTCCATACAGATGACAATGAATAGAGCCTACCTGAGTTCAGAGACCATGGCATGACACTGACAGTTGGCATGAAGAGAAAGCATCTCTTATTTGTCATTGCTGCCCCTGCTCCAGCCAGCGGAGGGCCTGCCACAGGGAGAGGGTCAGTCAGTCATGAGTGGTACTGAGTGGAGACCAGGGTCAGGGAGGCCCTTTGTGGCCGCCGATTGGGTGTCTGACTTTTGCTATGAAGAGAAGGAGGGTGCTGACAAAACACCTTTTTTATTTGTGTCTCTCACTATATTTGCCCAATCTCCTTTTCCTGTCTAATCCCATTGAATGGATTGAAAAGTTGGGAGCTTAGTGTAGACACTGCATTAACAGAACTCTGTATGTCCTGTGTGCGCCCAAGGGCAAAAAAACATGAAATGCAGGGGGAAAGAGAGAGATTAAAATGTAGGTGTAACTGAAGCAAAGCACTGGGGGGAGTGCAGCAGAACAGCAGGGGAGGGGAGCAGCAAGGTCCCCAGGGAATG